GCGGCCTTGAGTGAGCAGAGGCCGGGGGATAAAGTGAGGAACGGCCGGCGAGCTGAGTGAGCATAGGCCGGGGGATAAAGTGAGGAACGGCCGGCGGCCTTGAGTGAGCAGAGGCCGGGGGATAAAGTGAGGAACGGCCGGCGGGCTGAGTGAGCAGAGGCGGCGGATTCGACGAAGGAGCGTCCGGAGGGCTTGCAGCAACCACATGTGACGACCCCGGGCTGGACTCTGCTTCGTCCACGGTGAAAGCCGATCCGGTGATCCACAGCACAAAGTTGTAGTATTTCCTCAGCAACCAGCACGGATCAGCTCTAGGCATGACGAAGCAGATATCGTCCTCTTTTGGAAGGCCAAACAAAGTAGTTTCGCTTTCACAACGAATCACACAGCGCATTCACAACATGGCGGCAGCAACAATACTACAGCGAGAATAAAAGTTACGCCTTCTTTCTTTGCGTGAACATTTGGGCGGTGTTATGCAAATCTTCCCACATAGTGATGTAGATATGTGGGGGCGTGTTAGAACGAGCCGTTTTAGGTAGGCGTGGTTGACTCTTAACTTTTATAAAGAATATCTCTTTGGATTTGAGACTTTAGTCTTTGCAACTTTACAGATCTTCTTTATGCACCAAGAGCTTGTAACACTCCAAAGAGAAAGGAAAAATTGAAATCGCATCATATGACCCCTTTAAGGGATAAAATATTTGACTACAGGGGGACTTTAAGAAATCATTTTAACATGCTTATTTGGTGCTCAAGAAACATTTTCTTATTATTAGCAATGTTATGATCAGTTGTGCTGCTTAATATTTTTGTGGAAACTGATAATTGTTTAGAATTCTTTGATAAATAGAAAGTTCAAAAGAAGTTATTTTTTCATATTTATATATATCATTTTTTCATAATATTATGTCTTTTCTGTCAATTTTGAGCAATTTAATTCATCCTTGTTAAATAAAAGTATGTTTTTATATCATTAGGATGACTTTCCATACATGTGTAATACTTTCTATACTGAGCGAATCATATTTTCTATCCTCTAACCCTAACCCTACTATTAAACGTGACACTTAGAGAAAACTTTCTGCATTTTTACATTTTCAAAAAATCGTTTAGTATATTTAATAAGCTGTTTGTCTTGAGTGGCCCAACAAAATGGCCTGTCAATGTTTGTGATTTACTACCTTACTACCTTTGTGGGGACATTTGGACCTCACAATGTAGGTTAAACAAGTACAAACACACACACTTTTCCTACTTCTTCCTTCAGCCCCAGCTATAGTAACTGTAATACTTGAAACACCACTGATTCTGAAAAAAAAAAAAAATGAGGGAAAAAAAATCTTGTCACTTTTATCTTTTCCTGCTTTCTTTCCACAGGTCCATAATATCTGTGGCATCCATAGCATTAAAAGCACCTGTATAAAAATGAACACTGTTCCCTG